GTTCTTTGGCAATGGTGGTTTATAAAGAAGCTCTCTTGCTCGCATTCGTCGCAGTTCTTGGAATCCAGTTACCTTTACTAACTGAAGCAGGTTTCTCTCACAAAACATTCATATTGAGAATCTTCGTTCAAGGGTTTGCTTCGTAAATAGCATTTACCGGTTCGAGACTAGATTAAGAGAGAAAAACTGATGCTAATCTTGATTTTTGATAGTTTAAGCTTTTGGGGTTTTTGCGGATTTTCGATGTGCATTCGTAGTTTATCGGTGTTTTGGTTTCATTTTGTTCTAATTCGTTCTGAATTGGTCTCTTGCATTCGAAATCTCTAAAAAAGATTCTCAATTTAAGAAAACCCTTGAGTAATTGAAGCAAGGTTTATCTGCTTTTGTTTGTGTTGCTTCTTTTTAAGTTTTGAAGCAAAACTTCCACTTTGTTAGCTATTGAACTGATTAATGTTTCTTGTTTGTGTTTTACAGAAGAGTGTCCATTGGACTTGACTTCATCTAACTTCACTCTCGTTGCTTCCGTGTGCTTCAACAACACCGAAAGAGCCAAATGCTGCCGCTACATGAACGCTTTCGTTGCAGTATCTGTCGCTCGCTACGCAAACTACACAACGGATCTTGGAGTTGCATCGGATTTAACTCAAGTCTGTATCTCTTACATCTCTAGAACCATGGAGCTTTATGGAATCCCAAGAAATGCAACTGTCTTCTGTGGATTAGGGACCAAGATTCTTGTTAACTATGATTGTGAGGGTCTGACCACTGTAAAGGAAATGCTTCGGTCCAGAAATTTTGGAGATGTTTCTAGAAACTGCAAACTCCCGCTTTCGCCGGGAAATCAATGCAAGAACTGCTTGAACTCTGGTATTACCTACCTTCGTAGTCTTGTAGATGAAACAAATAGCATTAAACTGAGTACTTGCCGAGATGCAACCTATGCTGTATTAGCAAGCCAAGTTGACAATTCATCGGCCCTTGAACTCGCTAGCTGCTTCTTTAATGTGCCTGAGCTTAGCGCTGATCCAGGTATGCACAGTTTTGTATGTTAAATTGCCATTATTTCCTGTATACTTTAGTGTGTCCTGGATAGTTATCTTAGGATGAGATTCGAATTGGATTATTTGTTTCTTTTTCTGATATTTTTGATATCTACTCAGAGTCATCTCCATCGTCACTGAGCCCAGGAGCTTCTCCAAGTTCAGAGATAGCTGATAGTCCAAGCAGCAATCTTGTTTTGTCTAGTAAACATCACCGTCCATATCATTTGACAGTGGTTCCAACTATTGGGATCGCTGTTACAGCTTGTGCTGTTTTTATGCTCGTAGTCCTAGTAGTTCTTATCCGAAGAAAAAAACGGGAACTTGATGACTCCGAGAGCATGGATCACAATCCAACAAAGGCATTTCCTTCTCCTCGCCCCAATGTGATGATTCATGAAGGTGCAAAGTTATTCCAGTGTTCACTTACAAGAGATGTTTTGAGCAATTGAGAGAAGCGTGTGGCTTTGATTTTTGCAGGTAATTCGTTGGCTTTTCGGAAATTCAGCTACAGGGAGATGAGGAAAGCAACTGAAGATTTTAACACGGAGATTGGCCGTGGGGGCTTTGGGACTGTCCACAAAGCTGAGTTCAGTAATGGGTTGGTTGCAGCTGTAAAGAGGATGAACAGGAGCTCTGAACAAGCAGACGATGAATTTTGCAGAGAGATAGAGCTTCTTGCCAGGCTGCATCATCGCCATCTAGTTGCTTTGAAAGGTTTTTGTATAAAGAAGAAAGAGAGGTGAACTATTACACTTGTGCATCAAATAGTTTCTCTCCCATTTGTGTGGAAAGATATTGGATTGCCCTCTACCCGTCTAACCTGTGAATTTTCAGGTTCCTTGTCTACGAGTATATGGCAAATGGGAGCCTGAAGGATCATCTACATTGTATGCTCATGATTTCCAGATTTTCTTGCTATGTTATATAAACTTTGTTGGCTTAAGAACCTTGATAGATATTCTTCATTTCTGCGCAGCCACCGATAAACCTCCACTTAGTTGGGCAACAAGGATGAAAATTGCAATCGATGTGGCTAATGCTCTGGTAAATTTCCAAAGCGTACATCTACATATCTCATATGGTTGTACCCCTTCTTAGTTCTTGGCTGAAAATTATTCTTCTCCAGGAATACCTTCATTTCTACTGTGACCCGCCTCTCTGTCACAGAGACATCAAGTCCAGCAACATACTACTTGACGAGAATTTTGTTGCTAAGGTGTGTCGTCGTTCTATATCACATTAATCGGTACATTGACTTGTCTTTTTGTTTCACCTATAAGGAAATTGATTTTCCTTTTGCCTTCTGTGTTGCTTTTTTCCTGTGCAGCTTGCAGATTTTGGCCTTGCACATGCTTCTAGAGATGGCTCCATTTGTTTCGAACCTGTTAATACAGATATCCGAGGAACTCCAGGTGATACAAAGGGACAACAACTATTCTTATCTTGAAAGTTACCGAAAAGCTAATCTCAAAGTCTAAAACCGTGAATTTGAGTTTCAGGCTATGTAGATCCAGAGTACGTTGTAACACAAGAACTGACAGAGAAGAGCGACGTGTACAGCTACGGAGTAGTGTTGCTAGAGATCATAACCGGTAGAAGAGCCGTAAATGAAGGTAGGAACCTAGTAGAAATGTCTCAGCCGCTACTGGTAACAGAATCAAGACGCATAGATCTGGTGGATCCGAGAATCAAAGACTCCATAGATGGAGAACAACTTGAAACAGTAGTGGCGGTTGTGAGATGGTGCACAGAGAAAGAAGGTGCGGCTAGGCCATCAATCAAACAAGTCCTGAGGCTGTTATGCGAAAGCTGTGATCCTTTGCATCTCGGGCTTGCAATGGCGGTTGAGGAGGCCAAAGGGCGGTCACTGAGAGGTGACTCGGGGTTTGAAAGCGGAGACATTCGTGGCTTGGCGTCTTCCTCTAGTACTACTTCAAGGTCGCATTGTAGCCGGAGTTTTCTGCTTGAGACTGGTTCTCCTCACTCTCCACCAAACGGTCTCTCTTTTTGAGTCGAGCGTTTCTTTTAGAAATCTGGTACTTTGGATGATCCAACTGTTTACTAATTGCAATTTTGGAATGAATATGTTTTTCTAACCAGATACAAGATTCGTTTAGCTGATAATCTCAGTAACGGGTAAACCCAAGTTCTGTCATAAGAGAAAACCAAATCCCTAGTAGGCTAGTACCAAGTCACATATATAAACAACTGTCTTTTAGAGACATCAAAAAACCAGAAAACACAAAAACAGATAAAATGATCTAAACCTAGACTAATGAAAGGTCAGGGCACAAAACATGTCATTTATTATTCATAATGAAAACTCTCTCCTACTCTGTAACCTAGATTCTTCATCCAATAATCTTCTCTTAATCTCCTGTACAAGGTAGCACTATCTCCTATTACATATATCCCAAGCTAAGCAGTCTGGTTTGATCGGTTCTTGTTGCTTCATTTTGCCTTCACCATGGACCGGTTAGTGTCCTTCTCAAGCATGGCCTTTTACTGCCCCACGGTCGCTTTGATGATTCCTTGAGCTGCCAATTTCAAAAGCGGTCGTAGTGAACAACACAATCAAATTCAGCACAAGATCACTCAAAAAGACTATTCAAAAAGATGAAGCAAGAAGCAGAACATGTGGAAAACTATTTAGAGTTTGAGCTGCAGTTAGGGACATACTTGATTACGACCAACATAAACTACTAGACCTACGATTTAAATTTGGTTTTTCGCTCCTGATACAGAATCAAGGATTTGTGCATGAACTTATGAAACAAGTTAAATTGTTAAAACAGTTACCTCATTCTTTTGTGTTTCCATAATTTCTGCCTGCAACATAGGGGAAGCTCAGTTTCAGAACCAACTCGTAAATTCTACGATGAAAACAAAAATACAGAGAGATGTTGTAAATGTCGAAAACAGAAAGAAACCTGTTTTCTCTGCAATTCTTGGTTCACTTTCTTGAGCTTTTCAATTTCGGCTTCCAGTTCCAAGGTATAAGCCTGCAATTTATGGATAATGAAAAAAAAAACATCTTAATACACGACAAAGTGGTTCAGGAAAGGAAAGAAGAATTCTTTGCTGATTTTACGTTTTTGTTTAGTTCAGTCTTGCAAAAACTAGGACAAACAAAGACAAAAAGGTTTCTATAATAGTTTGGTTAAATTAAATACTCACCTGCTTTCTAGCTCTTGATCTAGCAGCTGATTCCCGGTTCTTGATCATTCTCCTTTGCCTCCTCTCGATAACCTTCTCTAGACCCGTATTGCTTCTTCTTCCTCGATTAAGCACATATGGAACTGGTGACAAGGAATTATTTTCCGCGCTGCTTGTCCCTGGAGAAGTTGCTGCAATAGTGACCCCTGTTCCTCCGTAACTAGCTAATCCATTATTATTGTTGATGGAATTATTTGCAGTCCCGGCAAAACTCTTGTTGACCATACTCACAGGCGCAGTAAATGCTACGTTTGCTTGTTTAGGAAAAATGGTTTGAG